ATTATGTTAGTTTGAAATTTAACTCCATATTTTACACATGTGACATGTATCGAGTAGGAAAGATTTATCCTAATAATATACTACTTGAAAAGAACTAGTATTAGATAAGCGTGTCTTGTAATTTTTTTAAAGTCACAAATGGAACTGAAATTCGCATTTAGATTGTCGCAAAAATTGACATCTTAAAAAGTCAATCTAAGAAAATAAAATACTCAGGTTCAGTCAATAAGAAAAATGAGGAAGACTGTTTGGGTCATATCAATTGCCGCAAATTTAGCAAACGGAGCTATGTGAATCGATTCTGACTGGTTTAATAAGACTAAAAATTTACTGGGTTTAGCTAAGTCAAAAAAAAAAGTTTTTTTTTTTCAAAAAAGGTCACATCTAATTGGAGAAATAAAAATGATTTTGAAGTTACTTTCAAGCCAAACAAAAGGTTCTCCCAGCAGGCTCAGTCATAAGACATCTCTTTAAGTTTCTAACGACTCCTGCCCAATGGATGGATGCATCAACCTTAAAAATTCAAAGTAAACGCCAATGCTCTAACTAGTAATTCAAGAAGACTTAATAATGACAAAGTAATTGCTATAGGACCTATTTATTCAGCATTTCCAGGGATTAAAAATTGCATGCGAACTCTTCTTGAATCTGGAATTGACCATGTCATATCCTCATGAATAAAAATTATCTAGTTTTCCTCTCAGTCCTGCAATTCATTTCCCAGCCGTCAAATTTGAAAGGCATGGTCCAAAGAAAAATGTATAGAGTATTATATTCTAGAATAATAATATGTGTTTATGGTTCAAAATTCTTTCAGAGGAGCTGATTTTTCCTCTATAGAATGATTAGAATAATAGAGTGCTTTCACAATCTTGAGTTCTGAAACGGAGGCCAGTGGATGGCAGGCTGTAAGGAAGTTGTTTAGTTTCCCATTTTGTTCAGACATGTCAATGGAGTCTATATCAAATTCGATGTTTTCTTGCCTCCTGTTTCTTTTGATCCAATCCTGCTATGGAACTGATACAATCAGCCAAAACCAAACAATGGCCGACGGTGAGACTCTAGTCTCCACAGGTGAAACTTTTGTGCTGGGCTTCTTTCCTGTCCAAGATTCCACTAACCGATATCTGGGAATATGGTACAGGAGATCTCCTCAAACGATTGTGTGGGTTGCAAACAGGGTAGCTCCACTGACAGATTCAAATGGAGTTCTGACAATCAACAGTGATGGAAATCTTGTACTTCTCAATGGAACAAAAAGCATCATCTGGTCATCCAATTCTTCTTCGACAGATGCTCAAACGAACTTGGTTGCACAGCTGTTGGATTCTGGAAACCTGGTTCTCGGAAGAAACGATGATTTCAGTGCAGAAAGATATATCTGGCAGAGCTTTGATTTCATGACTGACACGCTTCTCCCTGGAATGAAGAAAGGAATAAACTTGCAGACTGGCTCGTACTTGACATCATGGAAAAATCAAAGTGATCCTTCACCAGGACAATTCACTTACAAACTTGACAATATTGGGTTGCCTCAATTTGTTCTTCGTCAGGGTTCAGTGAAGAAGTTCCGCTCTGGCCTGTGGAATGGACAGCGATTTAGCGGTTTTTCTGTGATGAACACCACTGTTATTGCAGCTACTTTTGTTTATGATGATAAAGAAGTGTACTATTCGTACGAATTGAGGTATAGCTCAATACTCTCGAGGCTAACGTTGAATTCATCAGGCATAATTCAGCGGTATGTGATGAATGAAGGAAGTTCTGATTGGTTAATCATGTATATGCTGCCCTATGACATGTGTGGAGAATATGGTAAGTGTGGTCCTAATGGCATTTGCAGGATCAACGGTAACCCAATTTGTCAGTGCTTGGACGGATTTGTTCCCAAATCAAAAGTAGATTGGGATGCATTAAATTGGGCTGGTGGATGCATAAGGAGAACCCCCTTAGATTGCAAGCAAGGAGAAGGTTTTATAAGGCTTAGAAATGTGAAATTGCCAGACCTCCTGAACTTTCGTCTGAATCGGAGCATGACCAGTCAGGAATGTAAGAGAGAATGCTTGAAGGATTGTTCTTGTATTGCTTTCACAAACTCAAATATTACCGACGGAGGTAGTGGCTGTCTGATGTGGTTCGGTGACTTGATTGATATTCAGGAGTACCATGACGAAAACAGCGAGCAAGATATATATCTACGGATGCCAAAATCAGAATTAGGTAAACCATCTGCATAATTTCTTCATATTTGTTCTTTAGCTATTGCAATTTGTAACACTTGAATCATTCATGCTAACAAATGCAATTTACATTTGTTAGTCATATGCATCCTTTGGTTTTCCCCATGAAGCCACAGTGATGTTTTCAGTAATTACTTTTATCAGTTAAAATTTTAACCTGCTAAACAGTAGGGATTCATGTCACTTGTCACTCATTAGCCTTATGAATGCAAACAGTGAAAGTGTTTTCAATGGTAAAAGTGAATTTTTCTCAAGGCAGATGCAATCCAAAATCAGAAGCACAAAAGGGCAGTGCTTATTCTAGTGATTCCATTAGTTTCTGGAGGGATGCTTGTCCTTTGCTTTTTCATCTGGTGCATGCTTCAGAGAAGGAAGAAGAAAAGAGGTAACAGAGACTTGTCAGACCTTACCATCCATTTACATTCCAAAGTATCATTCTTTTCATTAGTTCATGTTCTAATTTTGATTTTGTACTCTTAAGTGCAACTCCAACTCTATTGTTAGAGAAAGGTAAAGCCAACAGAAATTATAGTCCACTGACTAGTATCAATTTGTTGTAGGTGTCAAAATAGGCAGTGACGACATAGAATTACCATTGTATCAATTGGAAGCTGTTACCACGGCAACTAAGAGTTCTCTTTCTCTAATATAATCGGAGAGGGCGGATTTGGACCTGTTTACAAGGTAAACTTGCTTATGTTCTTGATTTACAAAATTGAACGAAATCATACTTTTTATTTGAATATTGTAGGGTCGATTGGAAAATGGAGTAGAAATAGCAGTGAAGCGACACTCACAAACCTCTGGGCAAGGTCTGGGAGAGTTTAAGAATGAAGTTATTTTGATCTCCAGTCTTCAACACCGAAATCTTGTAAGGCTTCTAGCCTATTGTCTTGATGGAAATGAAAGGATGCTAATCTATGAATACATGCCAAACGGGAGCTTGGACTATTTTATCTTCGGTCTGATTTTCTTTCTCTAATCTTTAGCAGCTAAGATCAATTAAAGTTGGCTTACAAAAATAATCGAGAACCCACTGATAATACCACCTCCTGCCTGCAGATCAGAGTAGAAAAAAGTTGCTTGCTTGGAAAAATCGCTTTGAAATTGCCCTGGGAATATCAAGGGGACTTCTTTATCTTCACCAAGACTCCAGATTAAGAATTATCCATAGGGATCTCAAGGCTAGCAACGTTTTGCTAGATAGTGAGTTGAACCCAAAAATTTCTGACTTCGGCATTGCTAAAAGTTTTGGAGGAGATCAGACAGAAGGCAAGACAAGGACGGTGATAGGAACATAGTAAGCACTGACAACCACTTGCCCTGGATTTGTAAAGTGGCCATTTCTTCTGACTTAAAATCTGATGTTTCGTGCAGTGGCTACATGTCTCCTGAATATGCATTTTCTGGGACATACTCAGTCAAATCTGACGTATTCAGTCTTGGTGTGCTCTTACTGGAGCTTGTGAGTGGCAGAAGGAACAGAATACTTGACCATTTGGATCAGCATCTGAGTCTTCTGGGGCATGTAATAAAACATGAAGCAATTCTTCTCCCCTTTCACTTAAAACTAAATTTCTTCACCTTAGTAACATGATCAAGCCTAGTATCTTTAATATCTCCAGGCATGGCTATTGTGGAATGAAGATAAGGCCTTGCAATTAATGGATGAGTGCTTGAAGGAATCATCTGTCGAATCCCAAGTGTTGAGATGCATTCAGGTGGGTCTGTTGTGTGTTCAGAAGCTTCCAGAGGACAGGCCAACAATGGCAGAAGTCGTTTTCATGTTAAGCAACGAGAATGTGTCGTTACCTCAACCAAAGCATCCTGGTTTCTTCTTAAAAGACAGTTATACGAGGGTATCTGAGGCATCAGCTGAGGAAAGATTTCAAACTAAAAATGCGGTGACCATAACCGTTCTAGAAGGAAGATAGAGAAGAGCCCGTTGGACTCGGAAAGCTCCTCGCAGAAGCTGGGGGCCTCATGTTTTTAGCCTGCTTTCAGCTTCCAACCTCCAGAAAACGCCTTACTGGCCAGCATTTTACCCCGCTGGAAGAGAAAATCCGATTATGCAAAGTCTACGTTAGATATTTTTTGGTTGAAACTGGAAGCCATAGTCCTAATAGAACAGCCTCAAAAGACAAGTAGCTGCCAAGCCATCCTGTAGATAACGTAGAAGAGCTTAGACCAGTGATAGTAAATTGCACATTATTTGATCTGATCTTATTTTTTATTTTTCTTTTCTTGGGATAATAGACCAGCTAGGAACCTTTTCTAGATTCAGAAACCACAAACTGAAAGATTTTGGAAATAACCTTGTGAACATGCATGCATAAGTTCTATATCAAAATGCGCCAATCAAAGGCACTTCTTCAAGCAAATGGACAGCATTTTTCAAGATCTGTACTTTGGAAAAAGCCTAACAATTGACGAGAGCACAAGCTAATGGACGAAATCTTCTAGGTAGGGGAATTAATGAGTACGTAGACACTAAAGAACAAAAGATGAACACGAAATTATTCTCAAATTGCAGAAAATGATTCTTTGGTATGGGAGGCTAGAAACCCGATTAATTTTGTTAGGCCCTTTTATCGTGCTTCTGATCAGTGTAGTGGTGATTTCTTAATTTCAACTTGATAAAATGATTTCATAATTGCTGTGACAATATTATGAAATAATACCCTTAACAAATTTAACTGATGGCTGATCCGTTTTTGAAGTCTTGTTGGCCGATCAGCAATCAAGTCAAAGCAGTAAATGGAAGCTTTTAATCGTACAATGGTATATCATTTTCTTAGAATGCAGCTGAAGGACAAAACAAAAGAGTACAATCCATCACTAATAGTTGAAGCATTCTGCAAAAATTTTGTTGCTTCATGTATGCTTTGGTAACAAGAAAAATGATGAGGGTGCCTTGTACTGTCTTTCCTTTCGAAGACTTGGTAATGTACAGACCTTGTACAAGTACACACAAAAACAAAGTAAAGCAGATTTTGTCCAATGATTGCAAGCATGAATAGTCGCTTTATGAATATGAGTTCAGAGAACCTTATGAGAAGTATCTGATGCGATTTACTCCTCATCTTGCTTCGAGTAGTGTGATGCTCATTTCAGCATTGACTACTATATTGCTTTCTAAGAAAAACCCAGGCTGTTTAGCTTCAGGCAGAACTACTTCATTTCCTAACATGAAAATCACTGTAGACATGTCAGGCCTATCATCTGGACATTGTTGAACACATAGCAGCCCTACATGAATTGATCGAAGCACTTCCAATGGATGACACGAGTTGACTATGTGCGAGTTGACTAATTCCAGTTCCCTTCCTTCTTTGTAAAGCTTCCATGCCTAGAAATTTGCAATCAGACTAAATAATTAATGCAGCATGCCTATGCATGCATAAGAATATGGGATTCTATATCAAAGTTGCTAGTTGTATGGCTCACATGTCCAAGAAGGTTGAGGTGGCAGCCTTGATGGAGAAATGGTCTGTTTCTCTTACCGCTGATGGTCTCTAGTACTAGGACTCCAAAGCTATATACATCTGATTTTACTGAGAAGAGCCCATCTCCTGCATATTCTGGAGACATGTAGCCACTGTTTCGCAAGAAATCATCAGATAAAAGATTTTCATGGAAATGCAAAAGGGAATTGACATTTTACAAAAACATGGAATTCTTACTGTGTTCCAACTATGCGGCAGGTGTTGGCCTCTGTCTCATTCCCTCCAAAACTTCTAGCTGTTCCAAAGTCTGATATTTTGGGGTTCATATCAGCATCCAACAAAATATTGGATGCTTTGATATCCCTGTGTATGATTCGAAGCCGGGAATCTTGATGAAGGTAGAGAATTCCACGACCAATGCCTTGGATAATGCTGAAGCGCTTAGGCCAATCAAGTACCTTGCTGTTTTCTCGATCTGACAAAGTTTCAAATAACTTTTAGTTGTTCTGTTCAACTAAAGAGAACTCCAAATGCAGGATCCACAATCAGTGAAGCTGTACATGCTGACCGCAGAAGTAATTTCTGTTTAAAACTGACTGAAATTCAAATTAATGAGCAGTGTATCTGAATGTGTCTGCATGCATGTCGTGTTTCATGTTTGTCCATTATGCAGCAAAAAGAGGTCTGAGACAAAATCCTTCTCAGAGGATATCTAGACATGTAAGAGTAGTGTGTAATTTTCTAACGGCTGATTTAGTTACAAGGAGATAAGAATGTCTAACCAAATATAAACAAATCCAGGCTTTTGTTGGCCATGTATTCATAGATCAGGATCTTTTCAGCTTCTTCAATGCAACAGCCAAGAAGCCTCACAAGATTCCGATGCTGAAGTTTGGCGATGCATATGACTTCTGTCTTGAATTCATCTGGTCCTTGCGCAGATGTTTTTGAAAGTCGCTTGATAGCAACTTCCTGTCCCTCCTCTAGGAGACCCTAATGCATTCACGTGATGTACTAAAATGAACTTTAATTATTCACTATTGGAAAATGTAGGAAAATGAGGTATCTTGAAACTTAAAAGTGAAGATGAGTCACCGAGTGTGAACCAGCTATTCAATTAACACAAAGTGCCAACTTCAATATGAGGTAAAAAGTTTTATACGGACGGTTTACTCAAAATCCAATTTTTGCAGGAAGTATAGCTTAGTCAATGAATATTGAAAGATATACCAGGATACTAAAAATTGTTCCACTATATATGAAAAAAGAAAGGTGTTGAGATATGCCAATTTTTTCTACGGATTTTATTAGATTGTGTTTGATATCAAAATAATTTAGTTAGTTGAAGAATAAGTCTTGTTAGGATATTTGTTAACAACAAAAAATATTGGTTTGTTAACAAATATTTTACCTATGATTTATTAGGTAGAAAATAATATTATCAAGTAGTTTTTTGTTGAGGTTTTTGTTAAGATTTTTTAGAGAATTGTTAGTTGAATTGTGTTGATTTGTTTCCTTGTAAATACTATAGGATGTTTATGAATGAAAAAACAAGTTTATTTTTCCAACTTCATGCATGTCTTTCATTTTTGCAACACTAAAGTGTTGTTACTAAATTTATATCCCAAAAGGTTAACAAAGTGGTATCAAGAGCCTATATTTTAAGGATTTGAGTCTTTTTTTGAGAGTGAGTGAACTTGGTGAAAATTTCTATTTCATTATAAAATTATACGCTTAAACCTTCAACATAAATAATGCCAGAAAACAACTTCTTATTCAATCCTCCAAGTTTCACCGGTGACAACTACCAAATCTGGATTGTCAAAATGAAGTCCTATTTGGTGGTCAGTGATCTTTGGGGTATGGTAGAGACAGATTCTATTATTGAATTACCGGAAGATCTAACTATTGCAGAGATGAGAGATGGGATGCAGTCAAATGGAAATCAAAAGTCATGGAGTGCATTCATTCAGCAGTTTTCGATGCAGTATCCACAAAAATTATGGTTTGTGAAACTGTAAAGAAAAATTGGAATGCTCTCAAAGTGGCTTTTCAAGATAATGACAAAATAAGATAGACGCAAGTCTTGAATCCTAGGAGAGAATTTGAACTCCTTAGGATGAAAGACACAAAAAACATCAAAGAGTACTCTGATAGACTCTTAAATGTTATGAACAAAATCCGGTTGATTGGGAACAATTTTTGGATGGCAGAGTTGTAGAGAAAGTCTTGATGAATTTACCAGAAAAGTTTGAAACCAAGATCTCTTCTCTTGAAGATTCAAGGGATTTCTCTCCAATTACCTTGCCAAAATTGATCAATGCTTTAGAAGTAGAAGAACATAGATGAGCCATAAGAACTGAAGAAGTCATTGAAGGTGTTTTTCAAGCAACAAATAAGGATTAAATTCGACAAGGTGATAGAAACAACCAAGAGAAATATAACAAAGATGAGAAGAAAAATGACAAAAAAATTTCCTGTTCACACTATAAGAAAATCTCATAATTTTCAATATATTGTTAGTTTAGACCTAACATTCAATGTAGGTTTTGTAAACTGATGAAACATATAGAGAGAGTTTGCAAAAATAAAGGAAAAAGAGGATATCAAATTCAGATGGTTGATGAACAAGATAAGGAGTAACTTTTCGTGACCACTTGTTTGCAAGCAATAGTTTCAGTACTGAAACTTGAAACTTGGCTAATAGATAGTGGTTGCACTCATCACATGACATATGATGAATTTATATTTAGAAAACTTGACAAATCGCAAATCTCCAACATTAGAATTGGAAATGGAGGTTATATTGAGATGAAAGGTGAGAATAGTGTTGCTGTTAATTATGATCCAGGTACTAAAATTGTTTATAATGTTTTGCATGTATTTAAAATTAATCAAAATCTGTTAAGTATTGGACAATTATTGAAGAAGAATTATTTTATCATCTTCAAAAATAGGACTTGTGTTATATATGACCGAGTTAGGAATGAGCTTTTCTCAGTGAAAATAAGAGGCAAAAATTTTTCTTTGAATTTGTCAAAAATTGACAATTCTACGGTGCAGTATTGTGAATCAAAAAACTGAGATGTTACTAAAATTTAAAAAAAGATCACTGAAGAGGCGATTGATGGAGCTTATGTTGTGAAGATTTATGAAAAACTATCTAAAGATGATGGTGGTGACAAAGTGAATAAAAAGCCATACAAAAATTTGAAGGATTGTTTTATGTCTCTCATAACAATCATTTTTTGTATTGCAAATTTCTTCTTTAGGTTTGTCTATTATGTATGGAAATTCCACTTTCAAGTTGCAAAAAAATCATTTGAATACATCAGAAAATTTAGTGTTGATTTTGAAATTTGGCTCCAGAAACATTGCAAGATTGATGATAAGATTGCAGACATTTTTATGAAAGTCTAGTCTAAAACAAAGTTCAAAAATTTAAGAAGACAATTGAAAATTTGCAGCAAAAATGGTAAAAAGGAGTATTGATATATGCAAATTTTTTCTTACAAATTTTATTAGATTGTGTTTGATATCAAAATAATTTATTTAGTAGAAGAATAAATATTGATAGGATATTTGTTAACAAAAAAAAAAAATATTGGTTTGTTAACAAATATTTTACCTATGATTTATTAAGTAGAAGATCATGTTATCAAGTAGTTTTTTTTGTTGAGATTTTTTAGAGAATTGTTAGCTGAATTGTGTTGATTTATTTCCTTGTAAACACTATAAGTAGGGTGTTTATGAATAAAGAAACAATTTTATTTTTTCAAATTCATACAAGTCTTTTATAAGCCATTTTTGCAACACTAAGATGTTGTTACTAAATTTATACCCCAATAAACCAACAAAAGGGCCACATAGTAGTGACTTGCCTTGTCTTCTTGCAGAGTATGGCTTTTTCAAAACTCACAACCCTAATCTCATGAATTTAGAAACAAGAAATTTTGTGACCAATGAAAGTAATCGAGGTTTTATGCCCCATCTTTTACAGATCAAAGATTCGATGCAGGCGAAACAGTGTGAATGCTGCAGCAGTATAAAGAGAATCTTTACCTTGTAAACAAGTCCAAAGCCACCCTGCCCAAGCTCGTTACCGTCTGAGAAGTTATTGGTGGCTTTAATTATCGTAGACAACTCAAAAAGAGGCAGCTCGAAATCTTTCTCATGGTTTGTGTGATCCCTGTCAAGGATATGTCCTGGAATTTCTGCATTGTGAGATATGTGGTGGACATAATAATTGCAGTGATAAATCCACTAAGCCTACTCAGATCAGCGGATAGAAGATGCAAGTTACCTCGTTTTCCCAGCTTTGGATATCTCTTTTTCCTTATCTGAAGAAACAAAATGAAGCTGAAGGCCAATAGAACCACACCAAGAGATAGTGACAAACTTATGACAAATACTCTTTTCTTTCCATTCGATCCATTCAAGGAGACTGAAAATTCAATACCAAATAAAAGGTCAAGTACTTTAAGACTTGGTGAGCAGACACAGCATTCTGGGGATATAAAATTAGTTCTGCAAATCTTTGTATTGCCCAACCTATTGATCACTTTCAAATTCAAAGCAAAGAAAGAACAGGGAACACACACTGCATAAAGAAAAGAAGATCTCAATGTAACTTGACCTAACGGACAAATATTTGCCTCACATAGCCGCTTTTGCCTTCAGTTTCAGCTCGATACTGCCATTGTGGAAAAACTCTCTAATAGGGTGGTGTACTAGGTGTTCAAACTTCCCTAGCAGAAGCTGCTGGATACCCTTACCTCCTATCCAGTTTAAGAGAAGAAGAAGACAGAGATGGCGAAGACTAAAAAGAGACAAAAATAAGAAAAACTTCACTTAGTTAACTTATCCCCGCTGCCTTGAAGAAACAATGTGAATTATGAGAAATAACCAGCCAGACCGTCAGTTTATAATGCACAAAAAGAAGTTTATACACTGGCATCTTCCATGATGTTAAGTCCTTACCGAACTCGGAAGAAGCCATCCTAATGTAAATATCTTGCCCAGCATCATTTATGACTCTCAGGTCAATTAAATCTCCAAACCAGAGCAAACACCCACTTCCACTTCCTCCATTGCTTATGTCTAAACTTGAATAAGCTGTACAAAAGCAGTTCTCCAAGCATACGGTTCTGCATTCCTCGAGTGATATGTTCCTATCATATGATGAGTTATGTGTATCTGGTAGTTTAAAGCCAGAATACTTCACAAATACATCTCCCTTGTGACAATCCAGCTGTATCTTGCGATTGCAGCCACTTGACCAATACCCCTCAGCCCATCTCTCCGGATACTTTGGTTCAAATTTGTCTAGACATCCACATGTAGCAGAATTCCCAACGTCGCAAACTCCATAAGCGCCACATAATCCATAACTGTCACAGTTATCTGTTGGCGCGGACAGGTATAATGTCCAACTTTGAGTTACATTATCCCACGTCCAGCGCTGTCCCACACCACTTTGACTCAAGGTAAACCTTGTAATAGTGGAGCTGAGGAGCTTGTAACTATAGTAAACCTCCTGGCTATTGAGAACTACTTCATAGGAGAATATGGGATTTTTTCTCAAGCCTCGCACTCCACTAAATCCTTGCCCGTTCCATGGTCCAGTGCGGTACTGCAAAACAGATCCCTTTTTCACGGAATTTTGTGGATATCCGCTAGGATCACAACTATATGTATATTGTCCCGGAGCTGGATCCTCGTAACTCTTCCACGCTGAGACGTGAACCTCCAGGCCAGTAACAAAATTCCGACCCAGCTTCATCCCTGGTAGAAACGTGTCAGTTGGATGATGGAAGCTCTGCCACAGGAATGTCTCTGGTTTATCATCAGTTGCATCTTTGACTACAAGATTTCCGGTGTCTAGCAACTGTGCAACTGGATTCTGTACAGAAATTGATGAATTAGAAGACGACCATATGATGTCATTATTACCATTGCGAAGAACAAGAAGTCCTGGCTTGATAACCTCCAATACACCAGATGTATTGACTAGTGGAACTTCTCTGTTGGCAACCCAAACCACGGTTTGGATTGATACATCGTTGTAGTACCATATACCCACGTATCTATTAGTCGACTGGCTTGGGCTGAAAAATCCAAGTTCAAAGCTCCCGCCGGCAGAGATCATCGTTTCACCATCTTTGATGGATTGAGTTAATGCCAAGGTGTCTGTGACACTGGCAATCTTCGGAGTCAAACACAGGATTCCAAGCAAAAACAGCAAAGAAAATCCTTCAACCGATTTCTTCATGCTTCTCATTTTTGTGCTTCAGTGCTCCGTATTTACTTCAATCCTCCCAAACAAGTAGATGAAAGACACAAAACTAACAATTGCAGATTGTAAACCAAGTCATCTGCCTTTCAAGCAGTGTCTTTGGACGCTAGAATTCCCTGACTTCCTTGGATTAGACCCTTGGAGTCTGGCTTTCATTTGGTCACTTTCAATGTAAGATTAATGCTACCTAATGTGCTAAATAAAAGATTACGCTCTGGGTGATTATTATATACACTACTTGCCATGGAAACCCAAGAAGAATTCACATTTAATGCATGAAGTCAATGAAACTAAACTTGGAAACTGATTTACTCGGCTTAGGCGAAATGAAGGCAGGCTTCAGAACGTTGAACCTTTAGGTAATTTCCAGCAAAATAAATGTCTTCTTAAAACAAATACAGACAACCCTCGAGAAGCTTTCACTTCTGTTAACAATTTTATAGTGACAATTAGCAAATTTTTTTTTTCCACATTAAACTTAAAAGACAATTTTGAATTCAAAGCAATTGTACTGGGTATACCGTTTATTGTGTTGAATAAGAAGAAACGGGTCAGTTACACTTTTTCTTTTTTGTTTTCTTTTGAGGAAGGTCAGTTGCACTTCAATTGCCATCAGATTGGCCAGTTGGATGGCCTTTGTCACGTAAGAATAAGAAAAACCAATCAATTTCAACTTCGCTGCCATCATTGACCAAGATCTCCTCGCCACGTCCTACTCTTTGCCCTTTCAAGTAGGATGCACTCCACTTAGTTTTTTTTTTTTTTTTTTGGTCAAAGGTCAACTTCTAAGTGGATGGCACTCCACTTGTCAAACATGAAAATCAATTGAAGAAAGAGAAAATTGGAATCTTGAGTTGAACTAGCTTAACCTTGCAGCTTCTGGGTAAAGAGGATCCATATATTGATATTCGAGGGGAAAATTCGCATTGGCCACAACTACACTCTAGAGTCCAGACACTAACAACGACAGAAAGGATTTTTTTTTTAAAAAAAAACAAAGAACAAATTGAGAAGGAATTTGATCATCGTACTGTGATTAACCTAAAAAATCCTTCGTAGTTAGCAGCAGTGAACTATACATTATGAGTTAGTTAGTTGGTCAGATTTGGGCGAGTTATAATTGAATAATGGGTATAATTGAATCATTGCATGTTGTTTGACAAGATTATTGGTAAGAAATTTAAATTTATTTACTTAACACTTGAGTTTAAATGTATAATTATTTTTAAATATGCACAAATAAGTGAGTCGAGTCAATTCACTACTTATGAATTAAATCGATTTAATGGAGAACCCATTTAGACCATTCAAAATTAACGGGTGAATTATTGGTGAACGAGTTTGGGCGGGGATGAACATAATGACACCTCTAATCACTGGGAGAGGAAATTGGAATCTTATAGTTGAAATAACTTACCCTTGCAGCTTCTGGGTAAGAGGGTTTTTTTATATTCAAGGGGAAATTCGCATTGGCCACAACTACCCTCTAGACACTAACAGCGACAGAAAGGATTTAAAAAAAAAAAAAAACAAATTGAGAAGGAATGTGGTTATCGTACTGTGATTAACCTATAAAAAACTTAGCAGTGCTTAAAGCAGGCTTTGCAAGTTGACTTCAGCAAAGATAGATTGATAACGTCCTTGGAACTGTCTTTCTATTGTAGAAGACTTGTACGGTGGGAAACCTGTACAAGTACAAACAAGAACCACATTGAAGAGGAATTATGTCCTTTACTTGCAAGAATAATCCTCCGCAATGAGAGCTTAGAGACCTAATTACACTTGCACAATTTGTTGCTACCGTGCTTCTAAAAGGGTCATTGTGATTTCACCTCTTGAACTTGATGTCTGTGTGCTAGAAGAATGCTCATTGACTACATTCCTTTCCATGAAAAACCCAGGATGTTTAGCTTCAGGCAATACTCCATCATTTCCAAGCATGAAAATCGCAGAAGACATATCAGGCCTATCATCTGGACCATGTTGCACGCAAAAGAGCCCCACTTGAATTGATCGAAGTAATTGCAATGAGTTGTAGGAGTCCCCAAGATGCAAGTCAACCAACTCCAGTTCCCTTCCTTCTTTGTAAAGCTTCCACGCCTAGACATATGCAGTTATATTAACATGATAAAATTTATGCATGCATGCAGACGCAGGATAAAATGTTATCTAACTTGTATCACTCACATGCCCCAGAAGGTTGAACTGGTGGTCATGATGAAGAAACCCTCTGTTTCTTTTGCCACTAACAATCTCTAGAACTATGACTCCAAAGCTAAATACATCTGACTTTACTGAAAATATCCCATCTACTGCATATTCAGGAGGCATATAACCGCTGATTGGAAGTATTCATCAGAAAAAAAAAATGTCATGGAAATGCAACAGCCATAATCAATTATGATAAATTATTCTTCTATACTTAAGGCGGTTTTGTAGAGTTCTTACTGTGTTCCAACCACTCGGTTTGTGTTGGCTCCAGTCTCATTACCTCCAAAACTTCTAGCCGTGCCAAAATCAGATATTTTGGGGTTCATATCGGCATCCAGCAATATGTTGCTAGCTTTGAGGTCCCTATGTATAATTCTAAGTCGGGAATCTTGATGAAGATATAGAAGGCCCCGAGCAATACCCTGGATGATATGGAAGCGCATAGGCCAATCTAGTGAGTATCTCCCCGTTTGATCTGCCAAAAATTTCGAAAATCAGCTCTGTTACTGTTTTCCTGCCATTGAGATACTTAAACTAGGGATTAATCAAGTCTGAATACAGGATCTGTATCTGGTGAAGCTGCACATGCAACAACAGAACATAGGTCTATTTTTGTCGAGAACTGAATAAGATCTTAAACTATGAGAAGCAAACTGCTAGACTTGTTTGTATATATGTTTCATGGTTGATGTTAGTCTAACAGTTACAACAGAAAACAGTCATGTAATCCTTTTGCGACATTTTTAGACATGTGAAATAATGTAAAATTAAGTAGATTGTAATATGAGTTAAGAAAGTCAAACCAAATATAAAGAAATCCAGGCTTTTATTGGGCATGTATTCATAAATCAGAATCTTTTCTTTTCCTTCAATGCAACAGCCTAGAAGCTTCACAAGATTCCGATGCTGAAGTTTGGCAATGCAGATTGCTTCATTCTTGAATTCATCGAGTCCTTGCATGGAGTATTCTGACAGCCGCTTCACAGCAACTTCCTGTCCATCTTCCAGGAGACCCTAAACCATGCATGATGTGCACTTGATATGAATTTATCCATTGAAGATTAGAAAAAGCAGATGGTATAACGAAGCGAAGCATGAAAGAAAGGTGAAATTCTTGCTATAAACAATCCTTTAATCAAAAGTAGCAACAAGCTAAGATGTATAAACATATTAGGATATTGTTAACGGAAATTCCACTTTGTAGAGGAGGTACAACTCCTGACGGCTGGTGATCAACTTTGAAAAATAAAACAGTATGCCTAATAGAGCTTTTGTGCTCTATGGGAACGAAATACAAAATATGGTTGAATTTGGATTATCATTCTTGCAAACTAGCTTTTTCAATTTTTCGTAAGATGTCTGCCCAGGATAATAGTCTCCGTGAATCTCTGCTGAAATGAGGATCACAATTAAATACTGCTTAGTGTAATAGTCATTGGCTCTGCTTTAGAGCCAAGAAATTGTAGAGTGATGTAAGTAAACGAAGCTCCTATACCCCCAATTTCAATTGTCAATGAATTTGATAATCTTGAAAAAAATAAAATAAAAGGTCTATCTGTGAGTCGTAGCATAAACTAGAAATATATTTTATTACCTTGTAAACTGGTCCAAAGCCACCCTCCCCAAGCTTGTTTTGGAATGAAAAGTTATTGGTAGCTTTAATTATTCTAGACAACTCAAGCAATGGAAGCTCCAAATTCTTGTTGTTGTGTTCATCTGTGTAGGCCATGCTGAAGTTATGTCCTGACAATTCTGCATTCACAACAATATACTTGACTAGATAAATATTGACACAAAGCAAATGACAGTACCAGCTTAAATATCAGGTAAAATATCCATGTTTTACCTTCTTTTTTCTGCTTTGCAAGTTTCTTCTTCCTTCTCTGAAGATACAATATGAGGCCTAGGGCAAACAGAACCATAGCTAATGACAATGTCAAACTTATGGCAAGTTTTTTTCCTTTCTTTCCAACGGATGACTGTAAGGAGACTGCAAATTTTTTCAGTGCAAACAAAACGGTTAAATTCTTTTAGATGAGTTAAGAATTCAGATAAACAGACAGCTACATGTTCAAGTTATGGCATAAATAGTGATTTTTGAGAATTTCTATATTACTCGACAAATGTTATAGCAGAAATTTTGGAGGCATAAGATAGAGCAAAGAAATACTATAAAATACACAAAGTAAACATCATCTCAAGTTAACAAGAACTTAAGAAAATGTCCATGTTCCCAAAAACTATGCTTCCACCCTCGGATGGGTCCTAAGTTTCGGTGTGATTTAAGTGTGGCAGGGGATCATCCAAATAAAGAGTACTTTGCAGTGAGAATGATGTCCTCATGTCCGTTGGGATGGGTAGCCTACCTACCCTCCCAATTCTTTAGAAGAAAAATAAAAAGAAAAAAACAACATAGTGTAACAATAACTAACTCATCAGAAGTGTTTTGAAGAAATCAACATGGTTGCTGGAATCAATGTTTTGAAGAAGTATTTATTTATTTTTCTTTCCTGAAAATGAGAGAGATGCAGGTTTCAAAAATCCAGAATAATATAACTTTGCCAAAAAAAACTGCATTTTAGGATGTATAATTCTCACCCGACTCGGAATAAGCCATCCTAATGTATATATCTTCACCACCTTGCGACATCACTTTGATATCAATTAGATCACCAAACCAAAGCAAACAGCCACTTCCTCCATTGCTTATGTCTAAAATAGAATAAGCTGTACAAGAGCAATTCTTCAAGCACACAGTTCTGCATTCTTCGATGGAAATATTTGTATTATACGAGGAGTTACGTGTATCTGGTAGTTTAAGACTAGAATACTTCAGAAATCCATCTCCACTCTTACAATCCAGAGGTATTCTCCGACTGCACCCACCTGACCGATCTCCATTGGCCCATTTCTCAGGATTTTTAGGTGAAAACTTATCCAGGCATCCACATGTGGCAGAATTTCCTGTGTTGCAACTTCCATATGCTCCACATAATCCGTAACTATCGCAGTTATCTGTCGGCGCAGATAGGTAAATAAGCCAACTTCCAGTTTGGTTGTCCCATGTCCAGCGCTGTCCAACACCACTTGGACTCAACGTAAACCTTGTAGTAGTGGAGCCCAGAAGCTTGTAAGCATAATACACCTCCTTATTATCAATAACAACTTGATAGGAGAATATGGGATTTTTTGCTAAGCTTGGAACCCCACTAAATCCTAGGCCATTCCATGGTCCGGTTCGGAATTCCAAACTAGAGTCCTTCTTTATGAAATTTTGCGGATATCCGGTAGGATCACAGTGATATGTGTAGCCTCCAGGAGCTGGATCCTCGTAACTCTTCCACGATGAGAGGTAAACCTCTAGGCGAGTCACAAAATTTTGACCGAGCCTCATGCCTGGTAGAAACGTGTCAGTCGGATAATCAAAGCTCTGCCACAGAAACATCTCCAGATTATCTTGATTTTCATCTTTGACAACCAGGTTTCCAGTTTCTAACAACTGTGCAACTGGATTTGGTACAGATGTTGATGAATTAGTAGACCATATGATGCTGTTCGTACCATTTCGAAGAACAAGAAGTCCTGGCTTGATCACCTCCAATACCCCAGATGTATTTATGAGTGGAACCTCTCTGTTAGCTACCCATACCACAGTCGGAATTGATATTTTCTGGTACCATATACCTACGTATCTATTGTTTGAGTTACTCGGGCTGAAAAATCCCAGCACAAAGCTTCCACCAGCAGAAATGATGGTTTCACCATCTTTGATGAATTGAGTAGTTGTTAAGGTATCTGTTGCACAGGCAATTTTTTGAGTCAATAATAGAATTGAAATCGGAAACAGCAAGAGGATACCTTTAACTAGTGTCATCATCCTTCTAGATTTTGTGCTTCATTTCTCTGTATCTACTTCTATCCTCTGAAATAAGCGGATGAAGAGCGAAAAAGATAAACACTTCGAAGTTTTTGAAGCCGGGATTCACTTAAATTCTTCAATTAGACATTTGAGAGTTAGGATTTCACTTGATGGCCAGGTCAACATAAGAATCTTATCTGAAATCCTAATTAAATGATTCTACTCTGGCTGCTTAATTATTATACATTACATGCTGCAGACTTATATGTATTCACATTTAAGTTTGAAGTCAATGAAAACTGAGCTTGGAAATTGATACGAGAGTTTGATTAGGATGTATTTGGCTCAAAGCAGTGAAGTCAAGGGCTTGGTATCAAATTTTGTCCTCAAGAAGAATCGTTACTGTCATCAAGACTCAGACTATTCAATCTCTTCAGTGTCCACATTTAGAATATTAAACCAATAGGAATTTTCCTGCGATTGATGCCTAACGGAAATTAGTCCCCTAAGGGAATTTAAGCTTTCTGTCAATAATTCATAGAATTAGTAGAAACTTGGTTTCACAATAATTGAATTTAATAAATTAGAAAAATCTGGTCTTTTTCACTTCGGTTCTTATCAAATAAATAATTATTGCCCTGGATGGATGGGGAGAAGAAAAATATCAGTCGCAGAAAAAAAAGAATGAATCAACTTTAGCTGTGATTTCATCAATTGACTATATGTTACTTCATCCTTGTCAAAACATGCTTGCTATAATATGACATACTCCAATGACTTAGCTGTACTACTTGCATTAGTCAATTATGAAGGATGAATGGAACAAGGAAACCTTCAATTATATATTTGAGGAAAGATGATCGAATGTTGAGACGGGAACAATTCAAATTGACCGGAACAGCTCACCTATCACTTAACTTGCCATGAGGGGCGAAAAAATACCAAGTTTAGAGGAAAAATCATCACCAACCCTCAAGATTGTACTGTACAGAGGACTAGAAATGAATAATGAGTCGTTGGGAAACAGCAATTTATTTCAAGAACTACTCGCGGGAGTACCAGAAAGAGAATGGCAGGACAACGTCTGCAAAAACAAAAGACCAAGCAATCGAAGTTTTGGGTTTTTTCAAAATCCTTCTTACCAATATTCTCTGAAAGTGTCTTGTGCCAAATGCTTCACATGGCATTCTGATGTCGATCTTGGCATGGAACCGAGACAGAGAACTCAGTCTTCTATTGCTAGTTCCTAAACTAGTATAATGTGCCATCTGCATGAGCGATCGTACTTGACAAAATAAAAACCTTGTCATATAATTAATTCAGCGTCTTGCAAGCATATAATTAACCGTAGTGGGGAAGATTGAGAATTGGGAGAAAAAGGGAAACTTTCTTTGCTCATTTTTCACTGCAAATTTGTCATTCATCCGTAACTCGATTAGTACTGTCAAGTTTCAATTGATAGACCAGATTATTTTATGCAAACACAATATACTAAGTGTAAAAGTAGGAAAACTTTAATGACTTCTTTCTTTCCTTCTTCTTTTTTTTTTTTTTCCAAGAACAGAAAATTACAAATATTTATGATCACTACATCCTTATTAAGAGCCTAGGTGCGAAAGTTCAAAGGTCAACAGAGTGCAATTTCAGACTTTTTGTACTTGCTATTTGCATTCCGAACCGTGTTTAGCGCCGCGTTGTTTGTATCAAGGAAAAAGATAGTCCAACTGTGTTAAATCAAATAGCGTATCTATTTTTCATTTCTTTGTCGTGGACTATTTGCTAGATTGGCATTTCTTGGTAAGTAAGAGCTTATTGCGCCATTTTTTTTTCCAAAACGTTACTTGTTAATAGTTTGAATTGAAATTTTGGGAAGAAAGATTAGATGAGTTGTACTCGTAAAATTTTGCAACAAGTTGAATGTTTATGAAACAAATTAGAATTTTATGCATGGTCAAAGTTTTGATAAAACCTTGCACTTTAAAAAAGAAATTCTTTGACCCCTTCTTCCTTATAATTTCCTGGAAACTGTTGGCTAAAAGAACAGGGAAGAAAGAAAGGAAAAAAAAAGGGAAATGGAAAGCAATATCAATCTCCTTAGACCGTTGGACATTAATCCAAATTCGGTATAAGACAAAACGTTTTTTCTTTTTTTTTTGGAATTCTTTTATTGGGTCTTAGGATGCACTACCCTATTGAGCGAATCTTCTTTCGCTAAATTTATTTAAATTAGAAACTATTTTCCTCTCATAAAATTTTTTTTTGTGATAAGTCTAGTAAGAATGATTTTAAAATATAAATTAATCTTACATGCACTTATATTGTTAGATCCATGACTCATATGTATAAAATTTAGATATCAAATTCAAATTGAAATTACTTGTCGTCATACATACAACAATGATAATATATGCACCGTCAATATATAAAAAATTAATTCTTAAAAATATAATTTGACAAATGAGTATTTATGTACAATTTTTGTATATAAAAAAAAAAGGTACAACTTTTGTACTTACCACTAGTTCAGGCATCGGCCCAATGAATGTCGACACCCATTAAAGTGTTGAATCCAAAAATATCAGGTGCCCAAACCCAATAGAGGCCTGCCCGTAATGGAGTGTCTTATCGAAGTATCAACTGTAGGAAGAATGCTCTGGCAAGCCATTACTGCACTTGTCATATACGTTAGGTACTTTGGTTATAGTCATCTTGGGAAAATGTGGCTCACAAAACGGTAAACAGGAATTAACTAAAATTAAGGTCATATTTGGATTGTGAATTTTCATAGAAATTTTTTTTTACATATTTTAAAATTATTTTTTATCTCATATACATTATATCACTATAGTATACTTTTTTACAAAAATTCTAAAAAGTTATATACATAATATTTAATAGTAAAATAGTCCTTCTTTCTTCTTCTTTTTTTTCTATTTAAAGTCAAATGTATATTAACTCTCACTTTGTTCCACTAATTCCACAAACTAACAAGTAAGACCTAAAACCTGAGTAGCCCTTGTTTGGATTGCCGTTTTTCGTCGAAAAATTTCGTCATTATTCGTGATTATATTTTTTTATTATCTTTTTCTCTCACATACATCAAATCGCTACAGTAATTTTTTCATAGAAAAAGACGGAAAATACAATTCAAACGGCGGATCCCTATGTTCTTTTTTTAACTATCTTAGGTGACCATATAATTGCTTGGAAGAAAAAGAGGCGGAATGCCCATAACAAGAATTGGCAGCCGTGCTAGTCTGCCTTGACTCGTTGGTTTATGACCGTTGACCAATCAACTCTTAACTTTTTGTTGGCGTAATCCTTATTCTCTTCCTCAACACAAAGTCAAAGATACTTGGGCAAAGTTTTAAGTTTATTGTCGAGCTGTCTCTAATTATATAACCACGTCAGTTAGTACAATTCTCTAATTATATCTAATTTATATCTTCTTCTTCTCCAGTTCTAAAAATAATTAAAAAAGATACCCACACTCTCACGACCTTTCATCTAATTTATTGGATACCTTTTTGATAATATCGAAAAAGATTTTGTTTCAATTAATAGACGACTTTACCTTTCTTAGTTAACCTTAAACGATCAGCAATTGAACTAAAAAAATTTTGGGTCCTTAGGAGAAACTCTAAATCTAACTATATAAAAGCGGGAGTTGGAGAATGAACAGTGCCATTTTGGTCGAGCGGTTATCACGTACTCCCTCCGTCCCGTTTTGTTAGTCTTGATTTTTTTTTCACACAGATTAAGAAAGTGTAATTAATTTGGTTGGAAACATAAATTTAGATTAATAATTTCCTAAAATACCCTTATGCTAATCACGAAGAGTGCCAATTAATATCAGTTACAGCTAATGGTGCCAATAAATATCAGTTACCGCCAATAGTGCACCCTGATTGTTTCAATTACCGCCAATAGTGCCAATAAATAACAAAGATAGACTTTTCATTTATCTATGTATTGGAAAAGCTCAATGTATTCAATGTAGTAGGTTAGTATTTAATACTCCCTCCGTCCCACTTTGATAGTCCTGTATTCCTTTTTTATCTGTCCCAAATTGTAGTCCACTTTCCAATTGAATAATGTAGTTGTATTTTAATTTTCCTAAAATACCCTTATTCAATGTAAGTAGTTGTTACTATAAACCTACCCCATTTAATGAGAGTTGATTCTTTTTTTACCGTCAATTCAAGTTCCCATAAAGTTGTACCATATTTAATGTGAGGGTATTTTAGGAAAATAACAATCTAAATTTACTTTTCCAACAAAGTTAACTACTTTTTCTTAAACTGTGTGAAAAAAGAGACAGGACTATCAAAATGGGACGGAGGGAGTAACAATGTATTAATAACAAGATATTTAATAAGGGTATTTTAGATAATTTGAAAGATTACTACATTTCTTAATGGGAAAGTGGACTACAATTTGGGACAGACAAAAAAGGAAAACAAGACTAACAAAACGGGACGGAGGGAGTAATTTTCAGCAACTTTGATGGCTTTTGTATTTGTTGGTTTTGTTGGCTTTTCGGCAACTCCATTTGCATCAGTCTTTGGCAGTTCCTTATGTCATTAGATTTAGCCTTAGTAGTCCTACATTTTTCGCTAATGCCATTTCCTGTTTCTGCCTTACTCAGGAGACCGAAAGATGCATGTTATAGTTGAGTGTTTTCTTTGTAATTTATTTGTTCTTTGTTCCTCTTTGTTTGCATCATTTTTGCCTAATTGTGATCCGCAGAGATAGGCCATCTTAGCTATTCTTGAGTATTAGTTTAGCCTTAGGTTTGTCTTATTTTTCAGTTATGCCATTCCTTTTTTCCTTCGTTCAAGCTGCATGCTATAGTTGTTTGATTGTTTGGTAATTTTGTTTTCTTCTGACCCTATTTTTTGTTATTGTTCACTTTTGTGGATGCCTCACTTTTTGTTTCTACATGTTTCTTTGAAACCCTCCTCTTCTCCGTTGGAAAATTGCCATTTTGACTTTGAGTAATCTACTGTTTTGTACTTTTGATTTGTTCATGTCATTTGGAAACCTATTACAGAGATGAGAATTCCCACATTTTCCTTCCTCTTAATCATGATGCTTGTTAAATTTTTCCCATTTTTACTTTTATTCATGCTTATTTATATTCTTTTATTTTACTAAATATCCAATGCCTTTTATATTCTTTGTTGCC